ATAGGATGTAAAATTGCATTGGTCTTGCACAAACTATAAGTTTTCTATCTGTGCAAATCTCTGAAAAATATATGCAGAACTAGAAGAATGATTTTTAATATTTTTTCATTGAAATAAGATGGGTGGGAAGCTTTGTTCCTTTTCATTCATTTTTCTGAGAATGTTGAAGATAGGCGTGGTGGTAAGGGGCGTGGTTTTATAAAGTTGTCTGATATTAAAGGGAGTGTTCCTGGAAAATTCAAAGGGGGTGTAGGCTAAAATAGAGTTGAATCGGTCTGGCAAGAGATGGCTTATTTTGTGGAGCAACAAATCTGGGACATAGGTTCGGAAATTTGTTTGGCTAAATCAAGCATATAGGTGGTATTATGGATGTATGGGTGTGGTATTAAGAGATTGCATGGATGGTATTAAGAGATCGTATGGGTGGTATTAAGAGATGGTATGGGTGGTATTATGGATGGTATGGGTGTGGTATTAAGAGCTGGTATGGGTGGTATTATGAGATGGTATGGGTGGTATTATGAGATGAGTATGGGTGGTATTAAGAGATCGTATGGGTGGTATTAAGAGATGGTATGGGTGGTATTATTGATGGTATGGGTGTGGTATTAAGAGCTGGTATGGGTGGTATTATGAGATGGTATGGGTGGTATTAAGAGATGGTATGGGTGGTATTATGAGATGGTATGGGTGGTATAATGAAATGGAATGGGTGTGGTATTATGTGATGGTATGGGTGGTATTAAGAGATGATATGGGTGGTATTAAGAAATAGTATGGGTGATATTATGGGTGGTATTATGGATGGTATGGGTGTGGTTTTATGAGATGGTATGGGTGTGCTATTAAAAGATAGTATGGGTGTGGTATTAATATATGGTATGGGTGGTGTTTAGAGATGGTATGGGTGGCGTATTAAGAGATAGGATGGGTGTGGTATTAAGAGATGGTATGGGTGTGGTATTAAGAGATTGTATGGGTGGTGTTTAGAGATGGTATGGATGTGGTATTAAGAGATAGTATGGGTGTGGTTTTAAAAGATGGTATGGGTGTGGTATTCAGAGATGGTATGGGTGTGGTATTAAGAGATTGTATGGGTGGTGTTTAGAGATGGTATGGGTGTGGTATTAAGAGATTTATGGGTGTGGTTTTAAGATATGGTATGGGTGTGGTATTAAGAGACTGTATGGGTGCTGTATTGATACACGCTCAACATATGATTCTGCTGAATTGAATTATAAGTATATAAGTAATAAGTAAGCTTCCAGCCTTATCTGACACCTAGCCATTGTTAATACAAGGGTNGGTTAAAGTCTTGGACATTTTAATAGTCAATGATCCTTTTCTGTCAAGCACATTTTAACCCAGTTAATGAAGATTTGACAAAACTTATATTTCAAACAATTAGCTAGCTTAAACGTTTTCAATAATAAAGCGTATCAGGACTGTTACGCTTTTTTTGATGGATTATATATGAAGAATATAAATGTGACGGAATCTAATTCCGATAAAGTTGCGACATACTTTGTAGATTGTAAAGGAATTGAGTCTTTGCCACAAGATCTGATTTTTTAATCATTATCTTATCTACCCAATGTCGGAGATCTTAACCCTATTCCTGCTGGGGGGGGGGGGTCAATTTGACCCCCCCTGTAGTTTTTTTTACATAACTCAAAAAGTATTGGTCTGAGGCTGTTGAAATTTTCTGACTTTTCTTACATACCCAAAGCCCTCCCTTTAGGCCTAAAACCGGGCTTTAATACTAACAGCCTGAGTCCTCAGGCACACTGCCTGAATGACTGCTTTTGCCTGTAACAAACTAAATCTTTGTTTTGACCCACTTTCACTTATCAGATTTTGATAAAATTTAGCTTTTTGGAAAGCCTATGACATAAGGAAACGGATTGCACAAGTTTTGCGAAAAAAAATTGCAAATTATTTGTTGCAAACAACCTGTCAAAGGAAATCACATTTTTAGTTTTTCTTGATTAAAAATCAGGTTATTTAAAATTTTGCAAAAATTTTTGCATATTTGAAATGGCATGGTCAAGGGCTTTTAAAAAATGTATAATTTGTCATTTTTTGGACAAATTTTTTTTTGAAAGCATTTTTACTATAAAACTGGATTTTGCGATAAAAAATTCAATTTTCGCAAATTTGCAATTTTTTTTGCAGATTCTAAATGTAGAGCACAAGAGCTTTCTAATGATGTATCATTTGTCATATTTGGACATACAACATGGGATTTAGAGGGGGGGTCAAATTGCCCCCCCCCCAGCGTATACTGGTTTTCAAGTACCCCAGCAGGGATAGGGTTAAATATTTTAAATGAATTCTGTTAGATTAGATAATTTAAGTTTAAAATATCAAAGGTTTACATTATTAGGTTGCAAATATATAGGGATCAGCAAATTTGATTTTGTAGCTAAGACTCAATTTCTTTTACATGGAGAAGGAAAGGAAAAAAAGTTTAGAGGTAAAGAAAGAATGAAATGCTAAAAGAGAATTTGTAAAATTAATGTTTAGGAGAAAAATGCGAATTGTATGAGGGATGATTTATAAAACTAGAATTTTGGGGGGGTCCTCTTCCTTCTTCATTGCAAACTTGGGTTGATCTTTAAAAGAGATACTAGCATAAACCGGCATTCATATGCATATACATTCTTCCAACCATTTTACGTGAAAAAATCCTACATCATGAGCTATAGTAATTTGTCTTGAATGTTTACACAGTGGTGGATAGGAGTGCAGAGGGGAGGGGGGATATAATTGAACCTATTTTTAACTCGGGTATTTCGTGCATATACGCGCGCAGAGCACGATTGCTCGGGATAGGTTTCCGATATAATATTTTCAAATTGAGGATACAAGAACCATTTCAGGACCTATTTGTCATTTTTACACCGACTTATAAAAGTTAAAATTGGTTCGGGTTCTGTCTGTGGTTTGTAAATTGAAGGGATAGGGTTGGATTCTATAATTTCAAACACTTTATTTTGCAAAATGTTTCTTTTGGAAACCTTGAGTTTGGATAAAAAATGGGGGAAAATTAAGGAATCAAAAAGTCTATTATTATGCATAGATAGAATAATGATATTACTAAAAAGTGATATGAATAACGAACGAAAGTGATATGAATAACGAACGAAAGTGATATGAATAACGAACGAAATGAAACCGTTGTACAAATTTTAAAAGGCCAGACTTTATTGCATTTTAACAATTGTTTGACGCGAGCAAATAAAAACTAAAACAAAGATTTTAAAAAGAGTAAATTTCAAAGTATTCTTGTTTTAATCCTGTCTTAACGTTATTTAATGTTATTTTAAAATAAATTCAAAATTATTTGAGCGCTGATTACACATATAACTGTCATTTTTATTTAAGTAAATGAATTTTTTCATGATATTAATATAAGACTATTTTGTGGCCGGATTATCACCATTTATAAATTATTACAAATATATAAACATATTTTTCTTGTCTGTGAATTTATCTGTTTGTTTGTATCCAATAAACGTCAAAACTTAAAACCAATCAGGCCCAATTTTTTGTGGTAGCTTCAATGCAGGCAATGCTTTATAGGAAAGTTGGTTCAAATTTTAAGAAATGTTACCTAGAAAAATGTTAATTTCCATCAATGTAAACAGAAAAATCTGAGAAACTTTTAACTTTCTGATGCATTAAAAGAAAGGTGTGAACGGTCAGAATTTAAAGTTTCAAAGAGAAAATTAATGAGAGTACAGAGTTAATTACCAATATTTCTGATCATCTATGACAAAGAGTACATAGAGTCCAATATTCTAAATTCCAAAAATCATTGCAGTATTTTCCTGGTTAACTAGCTGGTTTGGTAAAGAGAATAGCTCGTCATGTAGGGAAGCATGAATGTAAGAAAAAGAAAAGTTTCATACTTTGTGAGTAACCCTGTACTCCCTGTACAAGGTATGGTATGTATATAACACCGAACATACAAATATAATTTTTTAAGTTTTATATCAGAGAGAATGTTACTCGATATCTTTGCTTTTTTATCAGAATTGTAATGATATGTCATCAGAAAAAAATGTTCAACCAATTAGAAGCATATTGGAACGGGTGATCATTTAGAAATAAAAAAAACGTTTGTGAAGAAACTATTGAAAAATGTAAAAAGTCCGATTAAATATGCCTTCGAGTGGAGATTACAAATTGAGGAGCGCGCAAGCCGCAAAACACGTTTGGGTGGCGGTGATAACAAATCTTGAATCACAAAAGAAAAAAATTAGATATGCAGATGGTAGCTCAGAAGCCTTGTTCAAAATCATTAAATTTGGTCTGGAGATTAAACAATACATACCTGGAGATTAAACAATACATACCTGGAGATTAAACAATAAATACCTGGAGATTAAACAATACATACCTGGAGATACATACATGGAGATTAAACAATATATACCTGGAGATTAAACAATACATACCTGGAGATTAAACAATACATACCTGGAGATTCCCGATTTTACAAGAACTTTTACATACATGATTTAACCTTTTTTTATATTGATGGACAATTCAAAAACATTAAAAAAATTTCATATTTACGTATACCCTGTGTGTGAAACAAATGGGGCCAAACATCGCCCTTGTGGTACTCCCATAGACAAATTTTAAACTTTAAGATGAATTTGAAATTGACATTGTACATGCAGGAGTACATACAATACAGTAGAAATTACCAAACACACATGGAGGAGTACATACAATACAGTAGAAATTACCAAACACACATGGATGTGAAGAGTACGAGAGGAAATGCAAAGTGTTGCATGTCAAACCAAAATGCAAATTGTCCAAGTTTTCATGCAAAGTTGGGATTTTTATTGCAAAATTCTGAAAATTATTGATAAGTAGGGAGAGAAAAGGATTGCATGGATGCCTGGATCAGAAGCGCAAGGTCTTGGGTGACAGTTTAGGTGTTCACAACGGGCGCGCTCAAAGCCGGCGCACGGTGCGCCGTCGCACCGATAGTCTTACGAGGCATTGCACGTAGTACTCTCATCTCTTGCTGGAGTAACAACTCAGTGTAAGGAAAACACTCGGGGTGAGTGGTGGCCGAAAGGGTAAATACCATTATACAATATTTACAGAACTATTTACAATAATATCGGTTTTAGAAGTTTGAACTTTTTTAACTTGCATAAATGTAGATGCAAATAATGTATATATAGCTATCATCCTTTTAAAAACTATTAAATACGTTTTACCCTTTGCATCATCATTTTGTAGCTGTAACTCGATACTAACTTTTAGTGTTTAGAAATTTATTCATTTTTATCTATCAATTAACATCGCGCCAAAACCACTCATGACCCCAAGGATAGTTTATTTAAGATCATAATTTTCCCCGAAAAAAAATTGAGATCTTAGAAAATTTTGGAAATCCAGCAACTAAAAACAAAAATCTGTACAATTGCTATTATTTGATTTTCGTAGTTAAAGCATAAAACAGTACAAAAGTGGCAAATATTCCACAACTATTTAAATCGTATAAAATAATTTTGATCATTATCTAATCTCATTATGTTTAAAGTTAATCCAATTTTTCTTTGAGTATTTTATTAGCATTCCACAAAAGTAAAAAAATGCTTTAAGTATATAAAAAATCGTACTGCTTGGGTTCTGAAAAAGTTTAAAGGCCAAAAAAAACAAAAATTTATTTCATGTGTAGAAATTAAATAGCATTTTTCAAATTATACTTTGAATAGTTAAAATTTAAAGTTGAAATTAAAATTTCATTTTAATTCATTAATAATATATTCATTAAAGTTAATACTTAAATATTTAAATTCTGAAAAAGATGGTTTTAATTATTCTTTTCTCTTTAAATGGCATTCCTCAAAATACTTAAAATAATTAAAAACAGATTTCTCACTGATTCATTAATAACATATTCATTAAAGTCAAAACTAAAGTATTTAAACTCTGAAAGGTTTTTAATAATGATCTGCTTCATAAAAACAATTATAAATTACACTAACGTATTCTGAACAATCAGAGGGTAATATTCTGCCCATAGACATACATTATACTGTGATAATTGGACCACCATATTTGTTTCTTAAATATTCGGGTCATGTGCCCCCCATTCCCCCATTTAATGGGCGACCCCCCCTTCCGGTTCATACTATCAGACTTAGAAGATTAGGTTTTATTGCATTGCATTTTAGACAAGGGGAAAATATTGCTTGTGATGCATTTTTTCTTCATCATTTTAAAGTTTTTTCAAAATCTTTGAAATCATTATATTTTTATTATTTTAACTCCATTTATTACTTTCATTACAAATACATTTTTACGTTTTTTGGGTTTATACTTTTTTGTTATTATGAAACTCAGCCTATTTGAAGTTGAAAAAATTCAACGAGTTTCCTAAGTGCCTGTTAAAGTACACAAACAAATCAAGATGAAACTTGAAATATGTTTTTCTGACCCTGCTTAAATATGTCGACTAATCCTTCCTAAATTTACCAAAAAGGATAAAACTTAAGTTTAAAATAAAAATAAATCCAAGCGCAGTTTCATGTTGAAAGTAATTAATATAGACTGGGTCATGTCAAACCATGGTAGATAAAAGATTCCCTTCACTAGGCCCATATATGGACATTAATAGATGCCTGGTTTTAGAGTAACTAATTTAAATCACGTGGCCCAACGGCTTTAGATTGTATATCTATGCTTTGATATATTATAGTTTGCTTTAAGGCAGTTAAAGGTTTTACGTTTGGGATTAAACAACGCCGAAAGGATGTAATTAAAAGTTGTTTATTAAAATATTTTAATTTCGCAGATTACATTTTTGAACCATAACACATTTGATTTATAATTGAATTCTATAAGTAAAATTGTATGATGTATTTCCACGACTTATTTGCGTTCTGCAAACCTCAAATTCGATGAATAATAAGTTCACGAACTAAAACATTTAATGTTCATTATCAACTTTTATAATTTTCTATCACTTTTATCTTACGGCCCCTTTAATAAAAGCTCAAACAATTTAAATTCGCTGAATCTTTATCACTTTATTCTTTATTTTTGATGCGTAAAAACTTGTTAAATGAATGTTAAAAGTGCATAGTTCACTAATTATAAGGTTATTATTTCAAGATGGGTTGTTAACTCTGCTTTTTAATTTCCTTAACGCGCCCTGGCCATGTTTAATTCTGTGAATAGGATAATTTAAACTTTTATGTTTATTTTACAAGCAACTAACTACAGGGTTAACAGAAGGAAACAGCTAATAACAATCATAATAATAATAAAAATCAGCAATTCAAAGAAGGAGTTTAATGTAGTTGGACTTAATCACGCTATTCTCAGTTTGGAAAAAAATGAAAGTCGATTGGGGTTTTCTTTTTTTGCTGCATAGATCCGAAAAAATTCTTTGAAAACCCCGAATTTATGCAAGGATATCTCCATTATTTCAGCAGAGACAAAGGTTTTATCTTGGACTGAAATCAGGCATACAACTCTTTATATGAAGGCATTTAAAATTAGTTTATAGTCTTTTTAATTTGTTGTTTTTGTATAGCCAGAACTGTGAAGTGTCCCTTTAATATTTTGATTTTGTTTAACCAGAACTGTGAAGTGTCCCTTTAATATTTTGATTTTGTTTAACCAGAACTGTGAAGTGTCCCTTTAATATTTTGATTTTGTTTAACCAGAACTGTGAAGTGTCCCTTTAATATTTTGATTTTGTTTAGCCAGAACTGTGAAGATGCCTGAGAAGCCTGGATTTACCGAAGATCAGGTGGCTGATTACCAGGAGTGCTTTTTCCTCTTTGATACCAAAGGGGACGGATGTATCCTGGTAAGTTTCATAGTCTACCTTCTCCGGGTTCGGGTTTATTCTTTCTCTGGGTTAGGGTTTCTCTTTTATTCTCCTTCTCCGGTTTCGATTTTCTTTTTATTTTCTTCTTCCTCCGGGCTCGTTTTTTGTTTATTATCTTCCTTCTCTACGGGTTCGGATTTCCCTTTATTTTCTTCCTTCTTTTGGGTCAATTTTCATTCTTCTCCGGGTTCCAGTTTCACTTTTTTTCTTCCTTCTCTGGGGTCAGTTTTCTCTTTATTTTCTTCTTTCTTTGGGTTAGGTTTTCTTTTCCTCCGGGTTCGGGATTCACTTTAGTTTCTTCCTATTCCGGGTTCGGGTTTCTTCCCTCTCCGGATTCGGTTTCTCTTCATTTGTTTCTTTAAACAGGTTCGAATTTTTATTTCTTCCGTCTTTGTGTTTGGTTTTCTCTTTTATTTTCTTCCTTCTTCGGGTTTGGGTTTCTCTTTATTTTCCTCCTTCTTCGGATTTGGGTTTCTCTTTCCTTCTCCAGGTTTATTTTTCTTATTATTTTTTTTCTTCTTAAGGTTTAGTTTTTTTCTTTCTTTCTCCGAGTTTGCCTGTTTAAAGAAATGACACTTATGTGTAAGTTTTTATTTTTCCTTCTCTGGGTTCGGTTTTCTCTTTTACGTTTCTTTTGTGTTTACGGCGATAATGAATCTTTTTCTGTCATTGGTTTGGTGTAATGATCACCGTTTGACCTTTTTGGTCGAGTTTTTATTCCCTTTTTTTGTGAATTTTCTTGTTTTACCTCTAGTTCTTGTGACCTTACTTTTATGCTTAATTACTGTTTCTTGTTTATTCAACTCTTCATTTATTCCTTCCTTTTCCCTCTTTTTTTCCCCATTTTTATTTCATTTTTCCTGTCTGTGTTTTCCCCATTTTTCCACTCTAGTGTTAGATTTTGTAAAATTATTCGGTATAACATTATAATTTAGATTTATCACCTAAATCTCAAGATATTTCCCATCTGATTATTTCATTGTTTCGGTTTATTTTCTTATTTACTCTGCGCTAATCTTCATCTACGAATTTTCTATTGTGTAATGCTCACGTTTTCCGTTTTTTACCTCCCCCCACACTTTCCTGTCCCCTTTCATCAGCACCCCCCCCCACACACACTTTCCTGCCCCTTTCATCTCCCCCCCCCCACTCCTTACGAGAAAAGAGTATTTAAGAATCTTGATGTATGACTGAAATTAGTTTCCGGCGTCATCATATTATTCGTCGGCAATCTTGTCATTAATGCAACCTTTGAAAAAGAAAAGTAAACAATTTTAAAAAAACACTTCGCCCCCCTCCCTCCCCCCTCTCGGCCTTCCCCACTCATGTTTATTGCAGTTTCCGTAATTAAAAAAAAAAAACATAAAATATTTGTTAATGGCCATTTGTCTACAATAAGATAAGCTGAAATATAAAATGTTAATATAAAAAAAGAAAAATAATAAAAATGCATTAATGCTTACTTGGGAAGCTAAAAATTGTACTTAAATGTAATTGATGGTGCAAATTTACAAGGCATAAACCGTATTAAGTACTTGATCCAGCTGCATTTTTTAGCTATCTCTTTTTGGCAGAAAGCAGAATCAGAATTAGGCCTGCAATGCACTTGTTTTTAGCTCTTTTATAAGTAAATTGATGAAAATCGAATCGATTTTAGATTAAGAGCTTCCATATCTTTGTATCACTATGCCCTGTTAGCCCTATATGTCTGTACTGTGGCCGAATTGAAAGAATTTGAGCGGCGGTTTAAATTTAAGCCGCGGCTTAAATATGGTTGGTTCCACTTAAAATTGTATCAAATGTTTCAAGATTTAAGCCGGCGCTTGATTTAAACCGGGTTTTGGCATTGGTCTATAATTTTCTGGTGTTTTAAGCTAATCGGTTCCTGCATGGTCAAACTTGGGTTTATGTATGTACGTGATTTCTGCAGTATTTTAACCTTCAATTTTGAAATTTTATTGAATCTATCTTTAAGAGTGGGAACGGTTCGTATTTAAACTGGAAGACATTTTTTTATTGAAATATACCAGAGACGCTTTAAATTCTTTTAATAAACTTTTCACTCTGTCGTTAATTTAAATTGAATTGAGTTTAGATAAAAAATGTAAAGTTTGTTAATAGAATTTCATTATTGTTTCGAGTGTAAAACGAAGCTAGAATGACGTATAGTGACGGCTTGCATAATTGAAATATTTTCTTCGTCTTGTTTTTCAACTCATTATTGATAATTGAATATGTTTTGATTGCAAGGAGGGGGGGGGGGGGTCGTGCTAGTTCTAATCATGATAACAAATAGACAATTTATTTAATTAATTCAACACAGCTCATTCATTAGATATTAATTTGTATAAATGCTGGTATAGCAATTGTTTGTTTTTGGTTTTTATTGCCTATTTCTTTTTTTTTGTTTTATGTTTGATCAAAAATAACCTTATAATCCTATCCTGCTTAACAGTTTTAAACATTTTTAATCAAATTTGCAGGGAAGTTAAGGGAATTTTACTTTACCAAGGGTTCCCAAGACCAATTTTGCCTAAAAAATATCCAGAGCTCAGCGAGGGATGTTTTGTAGACACATTTGGTCGAGGGAACTCTTGGAAAGTAAAATCTCTAATTTCCCGAAAAAGTTGTTATACACAATTTTATTGTCTTTTGAGATGAAAATGCGCTAATTTTTTCATGAAAACTTCACAGAGTGGTTATTCTACATAACTATCCCAAGGGGCGTTAAGTAACTGAACCTCCCTCTGTTAGAGGAATCATAGGTCGGTAATGTTGGTAAAAAGGCGGTAAGACTAATTCAAGTTTTCCATAAATGTAAACCAAATAAATTGGAGTCAATGGAACAGGGTTAAAAAACAAAAGATTTGATAAAAATTGGCCTGACTTGTAAGAAAGCTAAAGAGGAGGAGAGAGAAAAAAAAACAAGTTTAAAAAGAAAAAAAATTATGGGAAAGGAAAGGGAAAAAGAAAAGAATGGCTGAGAATAAAGAAAAGAGTAAGTAAATAATAAAGAATAACAAAAAAGGAGAAAAAAATGATTGAAATAAGAAGTCATGATAACAAATAAGAAAAAGAAGAAAGATATGGAAAGTAGGGTTAATGATAAAGTATGGGGGGAAATGAGAAGGAAGTAAATATTTATTTACATGTCTACTATGAACAGAAAAACCTTGATCAGTTGATGAGTAACCGGTCTCATACATATCTCCGTATTGCGCCCATTCAACATAAAAGAAAAGTGAAACGAAAATATGCCCTAGCAATATTGTACAAAGGAATTCATTAGCACTGTATATTTAACTATCACGAATATTCCATAACCACTGTTAGGANTGGAAGAATAATATTAATGGTAGGAAGAAAAAGGCAGATATTTCTTAATGACATAAAAAGAAGGCGGAAGGTGGAAAGACTGGGGCGAAGGCATAGGAAGTATAGGAAAGCTAAAGTTTTTTTTATGACAAAGGAATTTAAGGAGAAGGTGAAATATACGCAAAAACATCAGTGATTGGAGAAAGAAGACGGGCGGAGGTTATAAATAATGTAAGATAAATATGAAACATTGAGATCGGAGAAAGGAGATATAGAAAGGAATAGGAAGGCGGAATGAAGAAGAAATATAGTGAAGGAGAGTGCGGAAGTTCCTTTCCTGATGCCATATGACATAGAACATTATTGACGAGTGGTAGGCGAAAGGCGGACTGAAAAAGTTTTAAAGGGTCATAGGGGTAAAGGGTTTTTAATGAAGAGGGACAAAATAAGCTGAGGTTTTAGGGTGGAGAATTAGTTTGGTTGATATTAAGACAATTTAGAAGATTGAAAACCCAACATTGAAGGGTGGGGGGAGGCGTGTATTCTTATATGGGTTGTAAGAGTAAGAATAAGTTTTTATAAATATTTGGTTTGGAAAAGGGAGGATCAGGAGTTCGTATATGGAAGATCTGGGAAGGGAAAAAGATCTGTGCATATTTTACAACTGCAGATACAGAGATGCATTTATGAAATGCAACTGTAAATATTCAATTTGGCGACGCCATTCCTACAGCTTATTCTATTCAAATATAGACTGGCAAACGGCCACAGGACAACATTTTTACTTTCAAAATATTGAAATATTCATGAATACACGTATCTAAATACATTCTACACGCCGACCATTCCATATCAATCACCCTCAATTTTTTTTTCCTACGCTTTTTTATTTCAGCCATTTTTTTGATGATTCAATCTTTTAAATTCATAACAAAGGGATATAGCTAAAGGGATATAGCTAAAGGGATATGGCTAAAGGGATATAGCTAAAGGGATATAGCTAAAGGGATATAGCTAAAGGGATATAGCTAAAGGGATATAGCTAAAGGGACATAGCTAAAGGGATATAGCTAAAGACCATTTTAAGTTATCAGCTACTAAAATGTAAAGTTTTCATCAACATTTTATTTTTTATCGTAATTTTACTTTTTTATGGCGACCATAAAGATATTTTAATCAACTACAAATATTTTTAAGAACGTTTTAAATGATCCTTTCTTAAAGTGACTTTCTACGTAATTTTAAGTGGTATTCCATTTAAATTGAGACACATGTCCGATTTACAGCTTTTGTCTATAAGCAAAAAAAATGGTAAAATATCCTCAACTTTCTGTTTAAAAAATGATAATTTCTAATTGTGGTTTATCTTTAATTATTTATGTCTATAGTTGTATGCAGCAGAGACAACGAGCGTAATTTACTTAAGCTTGGATATAGATTTAATTTGTACTGTTGTTAATCAGGCATGCCATTTTTTTAAAGAGGGTCACTTAAAATTACGCGCACACACCCTTTAAGCATGTGGCCTGTGCAAGATCCTAAAACTGAGTTTAAGCTGGTTCTCCCTTCTCGACTTTTATAATGTTGTTCCTGAACTTTGATCCAAGATTTTCATCAACTGCAGCAGAGCAGTAAACACAGTTTTATATTCTTAGATACGAACTCATGGTTCATTTCTCAGGGTGCTTAGTTAACTAGGATAGAACATAGCTTGGGTAGTTAAAAAGTCTAAAAAGTTAAATTTTACTTCTTTCTATGGATGACCGGAGAGGGAAGGGGAGGGTAATAATCATATTAAACCATTACTTTATCCTTGAGCCATATAATAAAGTTTTTATGAAACAGATTTTTTGCGGTTTTTCTCGCCAAAACTTGTGGAATGTCGAGTATTATAGTTTAATTGCCCCCTCCCCCCCCCCTCACACCCATCCTTAGTCAGGGGAAAAGGCTTGGAGCTTAACCTAAGTCGAACCTCACGCATAAATCCCCAATTTACATCGGTACTTCAGTCGGCCAGGATTAGGGAACCTTTAATTCCCCAGTAAAATTGGGGGAAAGAGAGTCATGGGACCGGGGGGGGGGGGGGATAAGGTATTCACCGGTTTCTGAACAGGATATACAATTATTTAAATAAGAAAGGAAATGAAGAAAACATAATTTCGTGGCTGAAAGTCGGATGCACGAGACGAATGTAATGACAAGCATCTACGCTACTTGTCATCCTGATATATGTTCAAGATGTGAACCGGGCTATATCCTGATATATGTTCAAGATGTGAACCGGGCTATATCTTGATATATGTTCAAGATGTTAACCGAGCTATAAACAAATCCTATCCTTCAGTAATCAGGACAAAATTCTAAACAATCTCACATAGACATACAATACAAGTTTGCAAACGTCTGTAATATTTTGTTTAGGATAAACCTGACTCTAGGGTTACATTCGAACAGTTTCTGCCTATGCTCCAGGTAAGGTTTGATATACAGAATAATATGAACTTCAAGTTTCTATGAAAGATCAATTTCGACAAAAGGCATAAATAAAATTACGTTTACAATTTTAATGAGGGAAAATCGTCAAAGTGAACTTTTCTAGTTAAAACTGTTCTGGGCACGGTTCCGTTAAGGACAGCAGGTTTTCGAAAATTAACCATTAATTTTTAAACCGTTAACAAAACGGATTAGCCATTATTGAAAAGAATTGAAAACGAAAACAAAACGGATTTTTTTTAACAGTAAATTTCGTTTTTCAGCAGAAATTACATTAAACTTGTAAAAAAATATTAAGTGTATGATTTTTTTTAAATGTCGTCTTCTGAATTTTGAAATTTGATTTTAAAAAATGGAGTTTGTCCAGCCGTGAAAGAATCTGGGTTCTCCTAATAGTACAAATATAGTTGATTTGGATATACAGATACTACTCAGTCAGCAGAAAAGGATAAATATAGTTCAACTACTAGTGCCATCAAAGATTTTATAACCATTAATGATTTTTTTCGCCGCTTCGCGCCGTTAATAAAACGGCTAGAAAAAGTTTGAACGTGCCCAGCCTTAGTTAGAAGACCAACATTTAGCCAAAATATTAACAGATGATTCATAAAAATTCTTTATTAAAATTAAAGTTTTTGCAATTTTTATTCTTATTTTAGTTAAAAAGGTGTTTATTTTACAAATTCTTTACTAATCAATTAATTTCAAGTAAAAGAAAAAAGGACAAATCAATAAAAGTAAAAATTTGGTTTTTAAAAATCTTTGATTTTGAATCCTTGAAAAAGAATAAAATTTAAGAAAAAAGACCTAAAAATACTGTAATCAATGAATATTGTTTAGGCTGTGTCCAGTAAGCAGATAACTGACACTGTGGATGATTTTGTTGAAGGACTCAGGCATTTTGACAAGGTAACTTAATCAATTCTAAACCAACCATGGGCTCAGTCTCATCCTGGCATAATGTATAGCTCACCCTGGAATAACCAGAGTGAGATGAGTTCGGTATATTTTTTTTCTCTTATCTCCGAGTACACTTTGGGGATTTTCGGGATTTCTATCTGTACGAATATCAATCTGTGTATATCTGTACCTAAATCGATCTGTATTTATTTGTGTCATTATCTATCTGTGTATATCAATATCTGTACCACTATTTATCTGTGTATATATGTACCACTATATATATATATGTGTGTATATCTGTAACAATATATGTCTGTGTATATCTGTACCACTATCTATCTGTGTATATCTGTACTAATATATATCTGTGTATATATGTACAACTATCTATCTGTGTATATCTGTACAACTATATATATATGTGTATATCTGTACCAATATATGTCTGTGTATATCTGTACCACTAACATCTGTATATATCTGTACTAATATTTATCTATGTATATATGTACCAATATCTGTCTGTGTATATCTGTACCACTATCTATTTGTGTTTATTTGTACCACCATTTATCTATGTATATCTGTACCACTATATATCTGTGTATATCTGTACCACTATCTATCTGTGTATATCTGTACCACTATCTATCTGTGTATATCTGTACCACTATCTATCTATGTATATCTGTACCATTATCTATCTGTATATATCTGTACCACTATCTATCTGTAAGTATTTGGCGCTCTATGATTGAAATGTTAACTAGTGTCAAGATGTGAAGGTTGCAATTTGTTTTGTCTAACTTTACTTTCATTTGTTTTTGTTTAGGAGGGGAATGGAAGGATATCTGCTGTAGAACTCCGACATCTCCTGATAGGACTCGGAGAGAAGATGACGGAGGAGGAGGTGGAGGTCCTCATCCATGGGAAGGAGGATGCCCAGGTTAGTTTATACTTGAATTGTACACTCTGGATCCACCTGGATTGGATGCTCGCCATACGGTCATACCGGTACCGTATGTTGTACCGTCCAGGCCCCACCCGTACTGTACAGCATACCTTTTCGGCCATAACCACACTGTACACTGTACCGTCCTGGTTCTTTCTGTACTGCACAGTGTAATAGCCATCCCAGCCATTTTATATTTTCATTTGTTTATATCCAATTTTCTTTGTTACAGGGTAACATCAACTACGAGGAATTCGTAAAGATGGTTCTAGCGCAGTAAACCGGTTTTGTTAGCGCGGCTGCGCGCAAAACTGGTTTTCCTGGGATGCTGCCGTAAGAGATGTAGGAGCCCCTGCACCCCGGGACCATCATGATCATGATCAAGATCAAGATCAAGAAATAATCAGAAAGATTTTTTAGTTTTAAGTTTGGAAGATCTCTCGCTGATCGCCATGAATACTGTATTGTTATTGTATTTTATATATTTATAGCTTAGACCTACTATATTTATGTTACTAACCCTATTTATATGTTATATTTCTGACAGACTTTTCATACCATCATGCCATGTACTGCTTTGAAAATATACCGGATGTACAACAGAGTTTATCATTGTTATGTACATAGTTATCGGTACATAGAGAACAGAGAGAGTGTATTTTTTGTTTATGTACACTTTTCTTGGAAGCTAGAAGTTTATGGAAATGTTACAAATGAAATTTAGATTTTATGTACATGTTTCTTGTTATATTAGTCAAGAAAGAGGAAATGAAGGACTTTGATTAGAAGTTACAGAAAGAAGTTATACCTCCGGATATCATAAACATGTAGTATTTTAAACTTTGAATTTTGAAAGCAAATTATAAAAGGAATTGAGTTTTTTTCACAAACTATACCCTGTAACCCACTGTCACAGACCTGAGATATTTTCAACTTCGAATTCTGTTCGGTAAAATAATATAAAAGGTTAACACCATCAGGTTGCACAGATAAAGTGATAAGAAAGTTTATGTTCGTGAAAAAGACCTCCTTTGAAAAATTAAAGGTTTACATAAAAAGGTTGCAAAGATATGAGTGAAGCAGTCAGTTTCATTCTTGGTAAACTGCGAAGAGATAATATATAGTAGATTTTAAGAAAAATTAAGTTTTAATTTTTTGTTTAAAGTCTAGATTGCGGAGAGAAAAGAAATGGCTTCCTGTACACAGAACCTCAAGTTTCCCATTAGCAGAGTGGTGTGTCAGATTCACAACTTAAACCTTCATTAACACAACAACTTTAGCCTAACATTTTCTATATTCTGACAGTTTACTTTTTATCGGTGATATAAATCCTCAAGGCTCCTTTTGTCATTCATCATTGTTCAGACCAAGTTTAAAGGGTACCATTGTAAATCTGGTCTGCCCCACTTTCATTTTTAAACTTGAAACTACAACGAAAGTCCGTTTAAGAGAGAAAAGGACAGTGTTTGATGTTACGCACACTTTTCTTTGAACATTGCAAAAATACTAAATATTTGCAATGTACAAGCTTAGAATTTTACTTTAAAGCATTATACAACCAAAATTAAAATTAATCTTCTAAAAAAAAGGATGTGGGATTTTATGAGACCCAAACTGATACTCTGAATGTAGAATTTCTTATAGTATACCTTGAAGGAAATCTATTAAAGGTAAAATTAATGAGCTGACAAAAGAAATAAAATGATGAACAGCTGAAGGGAACCAAAATTGTGAAAACAACAGACATCGCTGACCATTTTCCGAACAGTCGCCTGTGATATCTTATCCCTGGTAGATAACCCTGTAATTATTGTCGGAGCATTGCAAGGAATAAAAAAGTTTAATTAGTTGGAAGTTTTTATGAGAAACAGATTTAAAGAGACTGTATGTAAGCGTAATTTTCAATAAAAACAATTTTATAAATTGCGCATTTCTACTGTCGAAAAACATATTTATCATTATCATAATTAAACACTTTTAAAAAGACAGTATTTTCCACATTATTGATCAGCTAAAGGTTTCAAGGGTACCATTGTGAATCGGGCATTGCCATTTGTGCATTTAGCTTATCAGTCCCTTTAAGAAATGTGAGATAAACCAGAACTCTTGACATTCATGTTTATCATTTAGTTTTAGTTTATAAATATACACATTCGCAGCTTTTTACACTTTTAGCAACATAAAAGAATTTAACATGTATTTGCTATTTGATTTCTTCCAGGGGCGTACGAGAGCATTTGTGTAGGGGGGGCACATTTTGGTATTATTGTGCTCCCCTCCCTTAAAAACCCCTTTCATGAAAAAAAATTTGATATCTTTTTTAACTATTTAAACTTAAATTTATGTAATTTTATTAATCGTACGCCACTGATATCTTCTAAACCAAAGACGTGAACTTTGATGTTGTGAATTTTATTTAGAGAGTTCGACAAAAATGTTTTACAAACAAATGAAAAATTGAAAAGTGATGTTTTCTAAAAAGAACTTTTTTTACAGTTTAAGAATGATTGATAAGCTTTTTATGGAAAACGGAACGATTTATTGGTCATCAGTTTAAATCAGTTTAAATCAGCTTAAGTCACTTTAAATCAGTTTAAATCACTTTAAATCATTTCAAACCAGTTTAAATCAGTTTAAATCAGTTTAAATCAGTCTAAATCAGTTTAAATCATTTTAAATCAGCTTAAATCAGTTTAATTCAGTTTAAATCACTTTAAATCAGTTCAAATCAGTTTAAATCAGTTTAAATCAGTTCAAATCAGTTTAAATCAGTTTAAGTCAGTTTAAATCAGTTTAAATCAGTTTAAATCAGTTTAAATCAGTTTAAATCAGTTTAAATCAGTTTAAATCAGTTCAAATCAGTTTAGATGATAATGATTATTATCATTTTACGACTTTTCTCATCTCCGTCTTTATCAAAAACTATTTTTTCATCTTTCCGTTTTATAACTTTTTTTAGTTAAATAAAAGCTCGCAAAGTCGCACAGTACATTCTGGCATGGGCCGAATATTTTAGCCATTTATAAAAAACTAGGCTTTTAGGGCGCTTCGCGCCAATCTTCTATTTAAATTGTGAACATGTTCTTTTTGTTTACATTTTAAAGAAGAAACAAATTTTTCGAATTTTTAAAAAAAATTCGCGGATTTCCAAGAATTTAAATGTTTTTACAAAATTAAAAATCTTTAAAACACATTTTTTAAAAAATGCTATCATTCATAAACCTTCCCTGTGATCACGTGATGTCCCAAAAAAAATTTGGGCCCGATCGGTTCAGCCGTTTTGACGTTTATTGGATACAAACAAACAGACAGACAGACAAACAGACAGACAAGCCAAATTTATATATAGAAGGAATTGAATCTTTGTCACAAATCCCTATATCCCAGCAACCCAACGTTGTAGACCTTAGATATTTCAAACTATGAATTCTGTAAGATCAACTAATCAAAGGTTGACATATAAAAGGTGTACATCATCAGGTGGCAAAGATATTGAGATTAGAATATGTGAGTTTTTGGCAAAGACTCAATGCCTTTACTTTGAAATTCTTGTTTTACAACGTACTTGGGTTGTTTTCAAAATCAGTTTTCTTTTCGCCATTTTTTATTTTCATTTTTCCACTTCGTTAATTTTTATTTGATGCTGGTAGTAAAATATTGTTAGAGAAATGGGTTCTGGGGAGCACTGAAACCTGAGATGCCTGAGAACTGGATTATCAAAAGTATCAGATACCTTTTTACGATTTGCTGAGCTCTTAAAAATAGAACATAAAGTTTTATAAGTAACTGTATATTTCAACGGATTGAGAGGTTAGATATCATCATATTTTTATGATGCGAACCAACCGGGGTTTCTCCGGGTTCAAGCTGTACTGACGACCTTTAACTTTTAAACTTATTAGATGTTGTTTTGGTTTTTATTATTTCATACAGTAAAACTCGTAAAACTGTGGAATAGGAAGACGACTGTAAGAATCAAGTTATGATTTTGAACAGTCAAATAAACAAGAAACACAATTGTGAATTGAAAACAGGCCGATTTTACTAAACAACTTGAGTTTTAAGCTACTTTAAGGTAATTTGTAAAACTATTTGTAGTTTAACAACATCAAATTCACATAATAATGCTAATATTCCATAAATTGTCTTGTTTCCACTGTAATTTTGCTAAAAGATTTGAATTTAAATTCTAATTTTACAAATTCAAGAAAAGGTAGCCAATTCCAGCCAGTTCCAATATGTTTTCTTTGGTTAGTTTGGACAAAGTGTATATAAAAATACATGTGGCTGCAATGTAACACTTTGTGAGTTTTGTGATTTACTGGTTTTAGGATTAGACTCAACTTTAAAAGAATCGAGTCTTGCCACAAACTCGGATTTCTTATCTCTATATCTTTGCAGCTTTAGATGTTTTAAACAATGGTATTTGTTGAATCATAAAACTTGGTTTGAAATATCAAAGGTTTACACTATAAGAAAATTTTAAATTGTGGCAAAGACTCAATTTTTTTGTGAGAAACGATTTTGCCAGTTAAAAAATGTTTCTTCCAAAGTTGTGAAAATCAATTGAGAGATTTTACTGAAATAAAAAAATATTTTTAAAAAAAAATGTTCTTTTGACGTTAAATAGTGAAATAAAAACTTTCAAAATTTTTTTTGATTTAAATTTATTTATAAAAAGTGAAAATGCTAACCTGATATATTTGAAGAATTTGTCATTTAATAAAGTCCCTAAACTCTGGAGCCGTCTCTTAATTCTAAATCCTCAAACAGATGCAAATCTTCTTTCAAACCTTTAAACCGAAACCCTTCAACCCCTTGTAAAAACCTTTATTGTCGCCTGACTGTCGTCTGAATTTACGCCTCCCCCCTTTAACCTCCCTAAAATTTACACCCCCCTCCCACAATTGACTCCTAAAAATTACCCCCCCCCCCCCCCTCCCTTTACCACGCTCATAAAATTGTATGCAATTGCCACAAATAAACCTTAAATTATCTTTTTAATAAAATCTTTTTACTTTTTAATTCCACTCTTCAAAATTGTCCAATCCCTGAAACAAACATGCATGCTGTCAGAATCTTTGTATACTCTGTAGAAAAGTGCAAGTAAAATGATAAAATTACAATAATTATTCATCTTTTGCGTTTGGAATAAAAGTTCCGTCTTGTTATTTCAAGATTGCATCAAAATCTCTCAAGATGTTGCAGAGATCACAGGTTTTTAAGTACAGTGGTTTATATGCAATGCATTTAATTTCCAACGAATTCTTGATGACCCCGTCTCCCTCATACATCACAATGTCTACTCTCCCCCCTCCCATCTTTTAAGCTTGCTCCCCCCCCTCCCTTAACCTTTTCTCTTATTACACGCCTTCCCTTCTTTACAACCTTTCTTTAGTAAAAATTCTTATTGAATTCTCACCGGGAATAAATGGATTTTAACACTACGATAAGTTTTACTCTTTTAAGTAATATAAAGAGGATTTAATTGTGTGTTCGTATAGAGTTAAGAGGGGGGGGGCAGTACTTTTCTTTTCATAGCACAGAACCTCAGGATATCCTTTCCTACCCCAGTACCTCATGAAATACTTTCCTACCCTAGTAC